ACAGTTTATAAGGTTTTTTAACAGTTATGTGGGTGTGACACGCTTGTACACGTATCATTAAAAAGTGACATTTTTGCAATTTCCTCATAATATAATGAAATTTGTTTTTTCAAAAAGTGACATTCTTACATAGATTTTAAAAAGGTGGCATTTTTGAAAAGTGACATTTTTTTTAAATTTATCTTTATTTATCTAATTATTTTTTCAAAAATTCAGCAGATTCAGCAAATTCCGCAGTTACCATTTAAGTTTGATATTATTCAGCAACTGTAAGAAATCACTAAAAATTCAGCAAATTCAGCAACTCAACAGTAATTTTACACCCTTAATATCGATTTATAATTTGTTACGTTTTGATCGTCCGGTGAGTCAACGAAATAGTCATATCATCAAACGGTTTAAACTTCATCTTAAACTGAAGAAAACAATGAATAAAATCTACATAGCGAAGTAGAGGAACATTACTCAAGAGCTTTTGATCATTCATCGTCGTCTTCGCAGAAGTGGCCAAACAATTTCTCTCTCTCTACAAAATTCAAAAGTCGGGAGGTCTGACCAAAGACCACCGAAGAAATACAGCACATTTCTAGGGGTTTCTCTGATCCATCACATTGTACAACTTCCTTTGTTTGTCTTCTAGGGTAATCAGAAAAAGGAGTCCTTTTTCTTCATTTTGAGCTTCTGGGTCTTCTCTTTTGATCTTGCTTAGTGAACAGAAGAGAAAGTCAACGGCCATGGCGGGTCGTAGAGATAGAAGCCAACAACTCCGTGGATCTCGAATTGCGATCGCAATCGTCATCGGTATCTTTATCGGCTGCGTTTGCGCACTTATGTTCCCTAATGGGTTCTTCAACTCGAAGTCGTCGTTAAGAGTAAACGAACGCCTTTCGAAATCGAGCGACCAGGTACTGGATCTTACGCCTTAAATCTGTAGAGGTCTTCTTTTGGGTTTTGTGATCGAGTTACATAGATTGATTTCTGACCTGAATTGAGAATTCCTTACGCTAGTAGGTTTTAAGTGGGATGTGTCTAAAACTTGGAAATTCTTCTTGGTGATGTGTTTGTTGGAGATTAGTTCTAGATATTCTTCAAAGTAGTTGACTTGATTACTGGATATTGTATCTTAATCTGGTATTAAGTTGAG